TTATTACTATTATTTTTTAATAATTATGTTCAAATATTTTTGCAGATTATCAAGATGACCTAAGAAATCTTTCAAAGGTGATTCTTCAAAATTAACTAATATAATATTATTCAATACAGACCAACTAGAAATACAGATTTCTGATTAAATAAAAGATTTATTCAGTCATATGATCATGAAAAATGGACAAGATCTTTTAAAGTTTTTTTGTGATTGCAAAGATTATAAGAATTTCCTAATTAAATTTCTTAATCTTACTTTAATAGATCCAAAATCCTGATAATTAACTTTATCTTCTCCTACACCTGCTGCTTCATCTTCACAATCTGTTTTTTTATCTGCTATTTTATCTGTTACTTCACCTGCTACTTCACCTGCTGCTTTATCTATTACTTTACCTACTGCTTTATCTTTACCAAGTTAGTAAACTGATATCTGCAAAAAATTATACAAAAATATTATAAATAAATATTTTTGCTAATTTCTTTCTATTACATATAATAGATAATAAAAGCAAGCATAAAGAAATCATAGATCTTACCATAATTTTTCCTTTTTTACCATCTCATTCTTCTACATATTAATTTATATTATCTAATTATTTATTATTTAGTGATAATATAAAGATTAAAAAAAATTAGATATCCTTCATTATTAACTCAATTTCTATCTACTCAAGTATCAAATAATGAAAAATCTTTGATCTATAAAGAATTCAAACATATAATAAATATTCTAAATAAAAAAATTAATAGTATATACTATCTCTATCAATTTTTAGGTAATCAAGTACAAGAACAAATCAAATTAATTAAAAAATTAGTCATCACTAATGAACTATTCAAAATATTCTGAAAGATACTTATCTTTGATTATTTTCAAAGTCAAAAATTAATCTGCAAGATTTACTAAAGTTCTTTTTCTATATAGCAAGTATACAAGAAAATAGTCAAGAAGTTAATTCCTATAATTCTCTTTCTAACTCCCAAGAAATATTAACAAATATTAAAGAAATATTTGGCAGAAAATGCTGAAGATTATATTGATAGTCTGAATTATAATATGTAGATATCTATGTTTACAGAGAAATATATTTATCAGGTTCATTATAAATTATATAAATCTATAAATTTTTTACTAATTATTTTTATTTGATAATTTTAGATAAGAGCAAAATACTGTAGTAAACACAATGATTACATTTCTATTGTCTAAAATACCATCTTTTTAATATTTGGCAAAGAGAAATTAGTAAGAGTCAATAATAACATATTTACTATTCACCTTGCTAAATGGAAAAGAAACAAGAAAACTCAAACTGCATATAAAATCTCTTTTAAAATAATAAATTGCTCATAAATATTAGTTACATAATATTTAAGAAATATAAAAAGAAAGCATTACTATTAATGCATTATGCATTTATCTTAGCTATCTGTGACATTCTTCTCAGTCTGTCAAGTTCAGGAATCAAATATAAAGATAGGTTGATAGCAAGATATGTATACATATTTATGATAAGTAATACTTTAAATTTACTTAAAGTTTGCATTAAAAAATTATTCATATAATAGATATTTAGCAAGCTATGGAAAATAACTAGCTAGCAATATCAGAAATAATAGCAGAGATAGCAAAAAAAGAAATCAAAAAGATAAAGCAAGTGGCAAAGAAAAAATATCAAAAGTCATGAGCTGAGAATATGATTGAAGAAGATAATAATGAGAAAGATGATGATTATAATAATTTTGTAAGTTTCTATAATACTCTTTGCAATTTGTTTTTTTGAAATCTTTAAAAAAACTAATTTTTTATTCAAAAGATCACTAACTTGGATCATGAATTTATATAATATAGTTTTCTTTAAATTTGTATTTTATTATTATATATATATAGTTTATAATAAAATAAATATCTTTAATCTATGAATTCTATTATTACTTGAAATTGCTACTGCTATAGTTACTTGAAATTGCTACTGCTACTTGAAACTGATATTGTGAAGTTTTGCGTAGAATTTTAAAAAAAATTAAAAAATCTATACAAATTTATATTTTATTACAGATCTGTACAGATTTTTTAATTTTTTTTTCTTTACTAAATATTACTAGTTTGAAATTTTGTGCAAATTTTGAATCTGAAGATCTGTTCAAAACTGTGCTCTCAAAAATTTTCTGATAATTATCTATTTAAGTAATATATATTAATAATTATTTAAATTTTATATAATATTAATTTATTTATATAAAAATATTATTTCTATTTTATAATAATAATAATAAATATTATAATAAAGATTAAAATTTAGTTATAATTTCTTGTTTACTCTTGACTTATTTTTTATGTGAATTTAAAATCAAATTATTTGCTATATCTTGAATCTTTTATATGAATTTTTCTAATATTTTATAATACATAACTAGAAGATTATATTTTAAATTTATTTATAATTAAGAAAATTTAAATAAATAAATACAAAATTATAAAGTAATAATTATTATATTATTAATAATTATATATTTTAAATTAATATTTATATTTTATTAATATATTCTTTATTTAAAATATTTTTTTTATATAAAATTCTAATATAAATAACTTTTTTCTTTTAATATACTTTTTAAATATAAATTAATTTATATTAAAGTAAAATATAAGGAATTTAAATTAATTTGCATAGTATTTTATAATAATCTCTCTAATTAGAATATTTTTATATCAAGTAAAATCATTTCTGATTTGATGAATAATTACTTATCTAAAAATTCTATTTTGATAATTTAAGATTTGAATTTAAATTAGCGCTAAACCTAGAAATTAGATTAAATAAAATTATTTTTTCAATATATTTTATTAATATATCAAATTATATTTTGATATCTATTTCTTATTTTGAATTTTTTACTTCTGTTATCAGATTTGTTTTGTCAGATTAAGAATTTTGTTAATTTAAAAAGATCATTAGAAAAGAATATGCCTATTTTTATTTGATATAAGTATATCTCTCTAATTTACATAATAATAATCTACACTTGTTCTGATCATATGTACTTCATAGATTCAACCTCAAGAAAATGAAAAAAGACAAAATACAGAAAATAAATATCAAATTCTAGCTTGAAGTACTATAAAAATATCAGTGAGACAATTTAATATATGCAATAAATTCTAATTTATTGGCAGATACTCTCACAAAATACCAATATCATCATTAAATTGCTTGTATATATCAAGATTAAATATATAATCTTTTTAAGCTTAACTATAACTCTATGATTTGCGCATTCTTATTGGTTGATTTTCATGTGATCAGGATTCGAACAGTCAACCTCTTTATATATTTTGATAATTTTTTATTTTAAAAAACAAAAATAGCTCATATAAATTCACACTCTCTATAACGATATTATTAATGATTCACCATAGTGACAACGAAATTTATGGTGTCATTATAGAGAGGTTGACATGGAATTATGATACGAAACTCAATTGTACAATGAAATGATTGATATAACTTTAAAATCTGTAATATTATTCTTTGTAATAAAATCTATAGTTACCAGTCAGATTTCAAAATATTGTCTACATAAAAGTTATAAGCATTTAAACATTATTAAATATATTATCACGTGAATATAATGACAGCAATTTTATTGGTTATAATTCGAACTGGCACTATGTTAATGTAAATTATCATTATGCAAACCTGAATTTATCAAGTTTTAGATAACCAATCGTTTTAACATTACACGTGTTTAAATATCATAATTTTATTGGTCGATTAAAAATAAACTTGACTTTGAATCACCTCCAGAAAATTGAAACCAAAACAAACGAAACTTATAGAAAATTGCATATAATTAAAATAATTCGAATTTTACCAAGACAACTAAATTCCATTTCTAAATGAAATGCTCGACGCAAAATTTAGTATATGTTGGTAACAAAATTCTTAATGAATATGACAATAAGTGAAGCTGTTTCGCTTTAGCCTTCACATATTTGGCAATTTATATCCTTTAAGATTACTGATTAAACAATTTCTATAGGTTTTTGTCACAGAAAGTCAAACATGAAAATTTTGGCTTTAATATTTAACGATTAATTGAAATAGTTGGGTGTTACATTCGGTCTAAGCTGTTCTCATGAACCGGTCTGAACGATTTCGATTCGTTGTTTGGAAACGGTTCATGAATCGGATCATTCAATAAGTTTGCAAATGTTATGTGTCCATTGATTAATGTTAGGATTAAAATTTTATTTAAATAAGGTTCGATCTGATTCATTCCTAATCCAAAAAGGCCAGCCTTATTTAATCAGAGCCGAATCAAACCGAACTGTAACAGCACTAGAAAATAGGTCGATCAATTATTATCCAATTGAAGTAATTCTCGCTGCGAATTCTGTGAAAATTTCATATTATAGAAATCTGCTTCTATCAAAATACAGCATTCGAAAAAGGAAATTATCCATACTGTGATAAATTACTACATAATCTCACAATTAAAAGAGCTATGCCATTATTATAATTCAGAATTCGGGAGTGAGCGTTTGCATCTTTGTAAAACCATCGTTATTATTTAAAAGTTAGGATAAACTCACGAATTTCGTCGCAGCACAAATATAGCACAATACAGTAATATCAGATGTATTAAGTACTTGTTCCTTGCTCACCGCTTATTGCATGTATTATTATAATTATTCAGTATGTAATTCTTTATAAATGCTTATTATTCATAATATTGGTTGCTATTCTCAGGAAATTTGAAAATTGTATTTATCTATTGTCGATTGTTTATACGTTTTTGGCATCTAACTCTTAATTGTTAATACCAGCAAATTAATATAAGTGAGAAGCGAAATGTAAATGATACTTTAAAGGAATTTCTTGCTTCAAAGGAATTTCTTACTAATACAAAGCTGCTTAAAAAAGAATTGTAATTTGTTAATGAAACGCGTCTTATCATACGCATATCAGATAAAAACACCAATGCAGTTAAATGGACTCTGAACCCAAAACGCTATATGTAACAGCAAAATTTTCGAATGATTTTACTATTGATATTCCGTTGCCAGCTTTTGAAGAACTCTTGGAAATCAAAAAGATGAACGATTTGCATTCGAACACTTCTTTGGTTCACGAACAAATTGATAAAAGTGCATATGGCTTATTCCGGCTTGTATTTAGGAATGAAATTAATAAAAAAAGAGTTCCTACAAAATTGTGGAGCAATTTCGCAGCAGTTGGAAAGGAAACTTGGGCGAATGCTAATGGGCCATATCGGGATGCTTTTAATCAACTCGCTGATCAGTTAAATGTTAATGATTAATAGAAGAATTTTTAAAATGAATAAATAGTCAATACATCAAAATGTAATATTAATAAAATGTTATAATAATAGTAGTAATAGTAGTAGTTATAATTCTATTTTAAATATTAGAATTTACATTTTATACAAGCAAAGTCTTATTTCAATTAGAAAAACAATAAAATTATTGCATTAATCCAAAAATTTTGATTAATAATTGTATACTTAATATTTAAAAGTGAATAGAATTTAGTTTAAATTTTCTAATACTAAGATTATTAAGATCGCAAAGTATTAAATTTTGTGAAATTTTACTTATTTCTGGAAAATTTTCAGGACTCAAGTTTAAAATGTTCCTTTTAATTCATTTAAAATTTAAGATAAATATTAAAAAATAATTTAATGATCTTTTGTAATAATTAAATTTTTTATTTTCTATAACATATATTAAAAATGTATAATCACTACATTTGAAAAAGCAAAATTGAATAATTAATAAAAAAGTCAAAATGAAATAATTACAGAAAAATATATCTATAAAAAATATAATTATAAATATATATAATTTATTTCTAGGAAGAAAATATTCACTCATAAAAATTCTATAATCCATTGTAAATTAGAGATAATCGTAATTATAATTAATTATATCGTCATCTCATCTGAAAATAACGGGAATATTATTAATTATAAATTACAGATAATTACAGAGCTTGTACAGTGGAATACAAACCATTTAAATGGCTAAACAAGTTTGTTAACATTAAAATTTAGAATTCTAACTAAATATGTACAATATAATATATAAAAATGATAGCGTTCAATATAAGATTCTAAATTAAGTAAAAGAGCTAAAGTTTCAGATAATGTTCAGGATCTTTTTTCTAATTTTTAATGTTAATAGCTGTATACAATTTACTTATCGAATCATTCGAATCCTATTTATTTGTCGTTCTATCATACTTTTCATTAAAAAAAGGAAATTATTCCTCCGGAGGGAAGGGTGAGTAAGTATTCTGGATTTATTCGGCGTTCTCCAACTTTATGCTGGCTGTGAGAATACTGAACATAGATTTGAAGAACCGAATATTGCTATTTTCAAACTTTTATATTATGAAGATTTCTAATAAAAATTTAGAAGCTTTTGAAATAGCTCTGCTTATGTATGATGCAAATAGCCTATATTATTAATAATTATAGCTTTAAGGTTTATAACTTCTTAATTAAAATAAATTTAGTCCGTCAATTTAATCAAGAAAGCCTTGAATCTATTTCTAACTAAGAAATTATGGAACTTAAAAAATATAAATTATAAATCATTTACGCCATGGCCTTTAGATAAGCACAAAATTTAATCCTATACGAGGCGGTGCTTAAATTATTTTAGTAAAATTAAATCCCAGATTGTCGAATGAGAAAATTTATTATATCAAGTGTGCCTATAACGAAAAAAATTCGAGACATAAATTAATACACAATATATTGAATCATTTTGGTTCTCATTGAGCTAATATTAGTACGTATAAAAGATATTTTTAACAAAATAGATATTACAAACTTTATGATATGTTTAGTATGATCTTGTCTGTCTATAAAAATTTCTGTATAAGTAAAATTCTTGAGTATGAGTGATGAATCTTAACGAAAGATCATATGAAAGTAATCTATTTTTATTTTTTAATTAATATGTGATCCATTAATATCGTTTCTAACTTGTTTATATCAACCATAACGATTTCAGTTGAATCAAATATATTTAACAGGGAATTATTCCCCTACTGGATTAAATCTAACTTCATTTATTACATTTTAATTTATATATGTTAAATAAATTACATGCCAACCAAGATTTTAAATTTATTTTGCATAAAAGAAGAATATAAATGGAAAATGCTATACAATTTTATTTTTTTACAATCATTTTAAGCTTATACTACTAACTTACACATAAACACATGAAAAAAAATTCTATTTACCTATTTACCTGTTATTTATACGCAGAAATTTACAAAATGGATTTATGAATACAAAATTTAGGCTTTCTTTTCTTGACTTTGCCCGCTAGTCAATGAAGCCAATTGCGATTCGAGCTCTTTAACCCGATTTTTTAGAAAAGCATTTTCTTTTTTACAGCAGCCACAAAGATTTGGTGATGATGGAGACGAAGTCGATAAACCCACTTGTGGTTTTTTCGAAAGGTTCGATGAAATTGTAGATTCTTCAATATAATTCGATGATCCAAATTGATCAATAAAATCATAATTCGTCGAAAAATAAGGCGAGGAAGATATTTGCGTTTGGTTATAATCATCTAACGAACTGATTTCTGGCTGGAACGGATTTGGAAAGTAAGACGATTCGTAAGTTAAATCATTTTCTAATGGAGGTGATGTATAAAATGTGTTTGTATAAGTTGCCACGTTGAATGTAGGAGAATAATCATAAATTGACGAAATTTGATGACCCAATGACGATTGTTCGTTTTCATCAACTGACGAGTGAAAGTCTGACGAAGGAACGGTTATTCGATCGACATAATCTTCGACTTCAGATACTGGAGAACTTTGTAATGATTGCGACGGACTTGCGGGAGTCTCTATTCGAATAAATTGGCTGTTTTTATTGTTATTTAGTTTTTGTGCTTGAAGCTGCAAATTTTTCTCTCTTTCTAATCTCGCTGGTAAATTCATACGAACAAGATGTTTATATAAATCTTTAGCCTCTAAGGCGATTCTTTGATATTCTTTTCGTACTGCTTCTGGTTCATTTAACCAGCTTTGTTTAGCCATTGATGAAAGTTGCGGTTGAGTAATAACAGGATGCTTCATCGAACGAAGTTCCTTACAAAAAGCTACACGATAAGCTATAAATGCATTTGGAATTCTTGACGTTTGTCCAAGACTCTTGTATTTCCCAATTGCTTTCTGTATCAGAGTCTTGGGCGTGATTTCTGGAGGAAATTTTGGAACAATACGTGGAAAATCACTACTGGTCTTTTGACTGCTAGTTGCTGGTGGAGTTTTCATTTTTAATAACAAAGCTTTTTTGAGAAAAAAAAATTTTACAAATGTGATTTATTTGAAACCAAGAAGACTTGAAAAATGAATACTTGCACAAAACGCTGTTACTCGTCCTTTTATATCTACAGATCAATCCGGAATCGAAAAAGACCGAATATTATGCATTTATTATTTATCGAAAGAGATGTAGATGTATGCTCGGCTCTGTCTTTATTGTTGATTCAGATTAAAAAAAGGTGATACATGTATATTCGTCAATTCAATCGGTTTAATTATTAACCCCAATTAGGCCTTGAAAGTGACCCTTAACGTTGAGTCTTTAATTATGGCGCATAACTTAATCTCTAATTGCTATTAATTAATTATTTAGTTTATTAATCTCTTCTGCGCATTAATTACGCGGGAAAACAAAAGATGCGCCCATCATCTTCTTTAGAGAGGTATTCCCTCCCCTCTTCACGGAGACAGGTTCCGAGTTGAGAGAAACAAATCCAATTTTTTTTATTATTGTTATTACATATATTTACTAACAATGGGAGATTTAGAGAACCAGTCAACACTTGTTTGAGCTCTAGAATGATTGACCACCGTTCCACTTAATATAAACACACAAAGAAGTAACTTATGTATACTCGACTCGATATTTTGATTATTTTGGCGTCATTTAAAGTTACAGTTTTTGCTACGAATCTTTGTTCTTGAAATTATTTTATCTGGCTAAAGCTGAAACGAAAAAAGGAGTCAGAAGATAAGGGAACAATTTTTTTTTTCATTGATTGAACGATGATGGTATCGATGAGTGAGTCACACACTATAAAGGGTTTTTTTACTTTTGAATTGGTAATTTGTATAATTGAATTTTTTTTGCACATGGGATGAATTGTAATCAAACTTACCATAATTCTAACATAGATACTCGGGTTCAAAAATGTGCTTAATAACTATGCAATAGACAGTGTGTTACATTATTTTTTTTATTAAAGTAGTCGACACGTGGAAAATAATTATTTACACATGTAGAACCATGTACGCATATAACATGTATATCTAAAACTGTGTACGATATTCCTTAAAATAACTCGTGATTTTATACAGGGTTAATATAAATAAGTATATTTCTATAGTAATTGTTGATTTTTTTTAATTCTTGAAACAGTTAAGGAGAAATTACGTCGCGGTATTCATGAAAATTCCCATATTCAGCGCACAAAAAGCCTAATAAATAATAAATGAAACGCCAAGGATCGAATATTTGTAAGTAAACTTATTAGGGATTTAATCCCAATCTGAAACAAAGTCAAATAATGAAACGCAGCAGTAAAGTCCAGATTGACTGACTCATTACGATACGAGTTCATTTTTTGGACAAAGAAAAAGTGAAGGTGGGCGGGAGTTTCGACGTAAATATCATTATGCCAATCTGGTTGTGCCCAAGGGGATGAATTGAACATTTTTAATTCATTTTTGTTTTATGGGAATTAAAGTTTTTTCTTCCTCGGAATGATATCATAATACGTTTGTTGTACCTTGTTCTATCAGACGGAAAAAGATAAATGTTTTGTAGATTGATCGTATCTGTCACAAACTGAACATTCTGGAAATCAGAATCCTTCATTTGAAAATTCATGAGAAAAAGTAAAAAGTTTTAGATTACCTAATTCAAGTCGATTGTCATCTCGAATATTTATAAGCTTGTCTCCAGTGAAATCAACAAACAATGTATAGGAATGAATGAATGAATGAATGATCGGTTTCAAAGTCAAGCCAGTATTCATTGTTGTTATGAGTGAATTAAGAAAAAAAATAAGATTGTCATTGCATAAATTTACCATTTTCGAATATTGTTATATTTTATTTACATTTATATTTAGAGATATTCAATTTTGGAATTTAAGTAAATTTGATATAAAATTTCTTGTTCACCAAAAAACTCGCACACAAAGGTAATAAATAATAAGAAAGAAACGATACGGTAATTTATTTAGTATAATCATATTAGGGATTTTAAATCAAGACATAGTTTAATCACGAGTTTCTTAGTTTTGTAAAAATGGCTGTTGTTATCACTCTGTTCATATGACCTATGCATGTACATCACCAGTAATTTTCCTTGACTTGTTGAATAATTATATAACGATAATTCAATGAGATCAAATAATACCAATACAGTTTCATTGTATGACAAAATTTGATCATCACATTAAATTGTCTTCCTTTTTAGTTTTTTAAACAACGTTAGTGGGATTTTTTTAGCATATAAAAGGTAAATTCGTTTTAAATGTCCTTCTCAATGAAAGTTTATTAAATGCTATTTATTACATGTATGCGAAATACAAAATATGGTTGATAAGAAAGAAAAATATTATCTACTAAAAGAATGTCAGATCGTCGTCGACTCAAACTTTGAAATATCTGACTTAAAACAAGACATTATTATTATTGTCGACATTAATCTCTTATTATTATGTATGAAACTTGTATTCTTTAATTTATATGTCGCAGAAAAATAACAGGTATTTGTTGTTTTCTTGTTAAATACGAGAAATAAAGATCATTAGAATAATTGCATTCATTTTCAATTGTCAAAATTTCCCACTATTGTAGACGTTTTATTTTATGTAAGATAGAAAATTGCTTTCTAAATTGCCCTATAACCATTCTTATACAAGAGGATTATCTCAATATACCTTACAATCTTTTACGTAATAGAAATAAGTGAAAGGCGTTTTCCATTGTAATACATGTAATCGTATCATATTCTGTGGTTTATTTAGTGTATTCTCTTTTTTGGAGAATTATTTACAGCATGTCGGGTGTGATTAACGATGCATTTCAGACAAGGAAATTTTTGATTGAGCAACACAACAATTATGTGTTTGTGTAAATATGTACGCATTGATAATCATAATATTTCGATCAAAAGTCAAATTTTTTTGTTTCAAGTTTACCATAGACTCACGAAAAAAACAATTCTTTCTTCTTTCGTCAAAAGTTTAATAAACTAACGATTTCATTTAGGATGAAAAGAGAATCTTAGTCTGATCAAACAAGTTCAAAAAATAAATATTTTGATAAAAATCTGTATGAGAGACGCAAAATTCACATCTAAAAATTATTGTTCGTTAAATAGAGCATTAAAAAAAATTATCAAATAGTTAGCAAAGTACATGTACCAATAAATTATATTCTAATTATTGTTGTTTTTGTTGTTGTTGTTGTTTCAGGAATATTTTATAAATGCAAAGTCAGGCAATAAACAATAAAAATGTACATATTTGATAAATTTTATTTTTTTAAACTCATAAAACCAATGGGGTTCCCCTGAAAGGAGAATATACATTGTTACAAACGGACCTTAGGTCATATTTGCATAATAAAGATCGATCTCATGGGGTTCAATTTATTTCTGAAACGCGAAATGTAATCATATAAGCTTTTGCATCACCTGAATACATGTTAATACATGTACATATTCTTCGATCATTTTAACATTAAAATTATCGAAGACTAATAAAAAGTGAATTATGATTAAAAAAGCTAATTGGCATTAAATAACAAAAATGTTTTGTGTTAATCAAAGAGATAAAAATCAATTTCGCGTTATTATTCTATTAATTCACTTGTAGATACTATTAAACGAGACAAATCTGGTTAGAAATAAGATATCTGTTTTAAACATTACAAGATTCTAAGTCGTCCGATATTCGATATTACATTTATGAACACTGAGAAACTGCTTTTATCCTCGCATAAACATATAGAGTACGAAATTTCACAATATATGTTGTAAGTAGAAATGAAAATATCTGTGGATTTGGAATCACTTGTGTAAAATTTAGAATTCTTTGAACCGTATTAATCTTTATTCCCAGACTAGCCTTTATCTTTTTCTAAATCATATTCTTATTCGGAATTTTTGCTTTTCTTCTGGAATTTTAATATATACTAATTTCTGTCTGAAATACAGCAAGATATAACAAAGTTTATATCTTTTGATTTCAAATACTTTATGCCTATTCTAAAAGTGAGAAAAAAAGCTATATGTATGTTTCATGTTTGAAATATATTAAATTTACTGATTGTTCTGAAATACTAGATAATGATTTCAGAGTATTTTAAAGAATTTTTTGTAACTATCTTTTTAACTGCAGTTGAAAATAATGTGGGTTAAATTTTAAAATTCAAAATAATATGAAAGCTAACTTTACAAAAAATTTCAAATTCATAAGTAATGAACTATAGCTTATAAAAGCTGGTTTTGGCGTGTTAATATGAAATTTCAAATGATCACATTATGATATTATAATATGTTTATTTCAGTTTTTTTTTAGTTTTTTGATACTTAATTCGAAGAGAATTACAAAAGATATTTAATTGTGTTAAAAGATCAAAATTATCATTTATATTACCCGATATGAGCTAATCATGTGAGCAATAAATAATTATTCAGCATGTAAATTTTTTCAATAAAATAAATATCAAATAAAAAATTTTGTTTACAAGCTAATCTAACAGAATATAAAATTCTATTATAACTGAAGTATTTGCATATTGAAGAATAATTTTTATTAACAATTTATATAAAAAATTATAATATAATCAAAAAATAAGTATTATATTAGATTAATATTATAATTAATTCAAAATAATAACATAATATAATTAAATAGAATGAGATTTGTTAATTTTAATAAAGAACTAATAAAAAAAGAATATATAATAATAAATATAGTTAGCTCTCTAAATATAATCTGTTAAAATTACATATTTATAACTTGCATTTAAAGAATGATTTAAAAAAATTATATTTATAAAGAGAAAAATATATAAAAATCTTATAATTTAAAACCAAGTCAAAGCTTTATATTTTAAAAAAATATATATTTAAAGAGATTAATTTAGAAAGTGTTTATTATATTAATTTAATCAAAGATATTATTATTAAAATTAAAAATTTATTATATAATTATATTTTTATTATTTTTTTATATTATTTATAATTATCTTTATTAAATATAAAAACATAATTTTATTTAAATAATTATATTTATATAATTTTTATATTTAAAATATATTACTTTTATATATTTTAATAGATTTATAAATATTACTTTAATTATAATATAATAAAATTTTTCTAAATAAAATTTTTAAATATAAATATTTTAAATATAAATTTTGGCTTAATTTTAAATTATAAGAACTCATATATTTTATTCTCTATAAATATAATTATTTTCTAAATATAAATTATAAATTTATAATTTTAGCAAAGTTTATTTAATTATAAATATAAAATTAATTATGAATAATAAGAAATAAATATATAAATAAAAAAATTTCTATATTAAATTATATAGAATAAATTTTTTAATTTTTATAATAAATAAAAATATATATTTTGATAATTTAGCTTTTAATTTTATTAAAAGTTTGCAAAACTGATTTGATTAATTTATAAATTAAAATTTAATATTATATAATCTTATAATTAAATAGTGTTTTTTAATTTTTTAATATATTAATATATTTTTATTATAAATATTTTAATTATAAAAATTATGTATCAGAAAATCAAATTTATAAATAAAAAATAATAAAGATTGAATTTTTCATTTTATAAAACATGGTTTGGCAAAAAAAAGCATAATTTTATCATTTTTTTAAAATTTATAATTTTACTAATAAATATTTTTATAATATATAATTTAACATTTTTGAAAAGTTATTTAATTATAAATAAATTAGAACCTTAAAAATAAATAATATTTATTAATAAAATTATAAATTTTAATATAGAGTGAAAATTTTAATTTTTTTATTAATAACTTTGACTCTGATTTATAACTTTTGACAAAAAGCCCCCACATATGATAAATTCGTTTCAATTGGGAATATTATTCGATATCATAGATCACATTCTTTTTACAAGACCAATACCATGACTTCGCTCACCAAATCGCTATTATTTGTTACAATCTCATGCATAATCATCCCAAAGCTATAAGTCTGCGGCTTGAGTATATATCTGTCTATTTAACACTTCTTTGACTTAATTATCGAGTGAATTATCCACTAGATACACTATACGAGAGTCACTGTGCACCGGAGACTGTTTCAGCGATAGTGTAACTTCTATCTTATATTCCCGTTCAGGATATCATTTGCTCCCACTAGATACATGTATTTAAAACATGTGACTATAATATATATAAAATATTGTCAATAGCCCCAAAGGACATCACATAATAAATATCAGCACCTTAATAAACTGGAGAATTGATCGAACGGAAATCAAAGTCTACAAACACGTAAATATAAGTTTTCTTTTTGCCTCAATAATGTAGTCTTAATACCAACTGACATATCACATCAATTAAATATTTAGGTTCTACATGTATCGGATCAGCTTGTACATTCCAGATGATATTAGTATACCACACGAAATTAAATATAAAAATAATATACATGTATGTTGTTTCTTAGCACAGAATAGACCCAGACATACAAATGGATAAAGATGAAATAAAAACGAATAAAACTAATGATACCTGACAAATGACGAAACTTTTCGTTAAGTAATTTTGTTTTTGACGAATTGACGATTGACAAAAACCATAAATCCCTATCGCTATGACTATCATTTCTTTTATCATTTTATCGTTATGTATATGTATATGTACATGTACCACAAAACAGCTCTTTGCGGTATCGGTATTGATTTTTTACCAGTTTAGTTAATCGTCAGAGGCTTCGTCTGACGATGGTTTCGTCACGTCATTCGTCGTCATGAAAATAGTATTAAATAGAGCACAACGCAATGTAATCTGTGAAAAATCGTGAGATAATTATTTATATGGATGATTCAAGTCGATTGATATTGGAATTATACATGTCAGAAAGTTGAAAAGCTAAAATTTGCGAAAGGTTGCTAAATCTGGTGTGTACAAAAAAGATATTCTCGAAAAAGATTTCAGGGAGAGTGACCAAGATACATTCACTTAGCAAATGTTTGCACACACTCACCTACCTATATAATTAAAAGACTCTAAAGCGTGCGGGTAATTTGCGCGTGATTCCATGTATTCGGGATGCCATTCATGTGGGTTGGAATAAATCTGATGTACAATGAAAAAAAAGTAAGCGACTAAAAACTTACACTTCTCCCAAATCTAAAAGGTCGACTTTATCCTGCGTTGAATATTCTCACATGAATGTTTCAGATTAATTTCGATGATATTCTCGCAAAAAGATTTCAAGGAGCCCGACCAAGATAAATTCACTTAGCAAATGTGTGCACACACTCGCCTACCTATATAATTGAAAGACTTGAAGCATATAATCTGATGCCATGGGCAAGCGAATGAACAATCAAGTGGGCAAAGCGAACAAGAAAATAGGCAAGCAAGGGATGGGTAAAGCTAAAAAGCAAGCAAAGGTGAGCACAGATTTATAAAAAATCAAATCGTATGTTTGTGGAATATTTGTGTCGTGAAATAAAAAGGACACATTTGTTTATTATGCGATGGTTATAATATGGTTAATAATTTATCGAGGCCCATGTTTGATGGCATACATAATGGTGTATGGCAAAATAAATAGAATGTTATAACAACTTTCTTTTGATTAGAATATCCATGAATAACATTATTAATAGTGAAGTCGAGAAATCATGGATATCTTGCAAATGATGTAAACGCTATAATTTGGGTTCTATCAACGAGATTGTATTATAAACTGATTATTACATACATGTATATCGAACTATGTTATAAATTTATATAGTAGCAAATGATGTATTTACAAGATCTGAGTTTAATTAAAAATGTTTTAAATAGCAAAAATCTAAGTAAAATATTTATAACTACTGTATGGTGTTTTACATTCCTAAGATCTAACTCAAGACTCAAAAAGTCACAATCGACGTTTGTTGTAATACAAAAAAAAGAGAAATGAATTTTAAAAAAATCGATTTATTATTACTCGTTTAATTCAACATTAATGGTATTAAGAAGATTCTCGGGGTTAAGTACATACATGTACATGTATTAATACTGCTTTCAATACTAATGTTGCTGTCGCAACGAAAAGTCCCGTGATTACGAAAATTCTGGGACGATGCAAGATCTTAATCTTTATCATTAATTAGTAATGTGTTACGAAAACTCCACGAAATTCTACCTTGTAGCATCGATATTGATGTCGCTTTGAAAAATCCTTTCAAAAATTCTTTGTAATATTAACATCAACACCGCCTTCCCGATAACACGATTTCCTACAAAAATTCTTACTTTGCGTTCCCTATAATGTAAATATCGGTAGAAATTCTTGCAAACATTCGAATTGTACTTTATTATTTTAAAACATGGAAATTCATACCAAAATTCATATTTTGTGCTGTACGTATCTACTTACATAGTCATGCCCTTTTGTTAGGGTTGTTAATGGAGTAGCGCACTCCGGAGTGAACCCAACCCAAATCTGGAGTGAGTTTACTATCACTCAAACTGGAGCTTTGGTCTGGGTTGCTCCAATGGAGTAACCCGGTTTGGAGTAAACCGATGGAATATTGCTCAGGAGCTAATGAACCTTGTTGGTTTGGGTTAGGACTCGCTCCATTGGAGTACGAACAAAACCCATTAACAACCCTACATTTTGTAAAATTCTCATACTTTGTAAGTAGTAACCCGTGAATTCTTGTAGAGACTTACAACCTGTAAAATAGATGTTTCTCAAAGGACTGAGAGACAATATAATGTGTGGGTTTGAAGAAAATAAATAGAAATTATTTTTAAACTCTTACCTAACAACTTTATTTCTTTTGTGTCTTAACAAAATTGAATGCTTTACTGGCTTTGACCATACAAAATTGATGAATGTGTGTTTCTCTATATTTTTGTTGCAGAAAAAATCTATTTTATTTTGTGGTTGAGATAAATGTTGTTTGAATTTTATTCGTAAATTATAGTTATCTTTTGTGCATTGAATTGAAATTATACTTTGTTAGTAATTAATTATTGTTTTTGTTAATTGAATTAAATATTCTTACTTTATCTTTGCCTCTTTTAAATGCTCTTGCTCTTAATTACAATCTTCATGTATATATAGATCAATTTAGAATTCCACTTTGTATAAATTATTCAGTCTAGCTATTGATTCTTGTCACATCTACAATTTTTTAATTCAATTAACTTCTGAATTGAGTGTGATATCAATATTTGAAGTATTAATCAAAATTTATATGAAGTAGTCTTTATTTCTTGAAAGATATAATTTTATAATTTTATAATATCTTCTAAAATTAAAGTTATTTGAACTAACCAACTTTGATTATATAAAGTACTAGATCTTGTAATATTTCATATTTATTTTTATATTTTATTAAAATTATATCTATTTGTAATCTTCTTGTTATATATATAGATTTTAAAAGATATTCTTACAGAATATATAATTAAAAATAAAGAGTTTAATTTAATTTATAACTTAATATTATTATTTTATTAAGATAAAATAATTATTAAAATATATTAACAGAATATGGACTATTATCAAAAAATTAATATATCAATATATAAATTAATAGTTATTTCTAATAAAAATTATTCAAATTTTAACTAATCTTTATAATTTTTTTATATTAGATAAAAAATAATCTAAATTTACTTTTTATATTATTTTAATTATTTTATTATACTTT